CTATTCATGATATTATAAAAAAATTACAATTGAATAAAAAATATAGTTTTAAGAAAATATCTAGATTTATTATATAACAATGTCATCTAGACAAGCCAATCAAGCAAGCATCCACAAAGATACGCAAGTCAGACTTGCAGAGCTTAAAGGAGTAGCATTGAACACGATATCCTATCCATGTTCTAATGCTATTTTAACTCAATATTAAGAAGAGATTAGAAATCTCAAAAAGAAAACTAATTACCAATCAGAAATAGATTCCATTGACAAGTTAGCTGACTGGTTAGCTGGGCCAGAAAAAGATCATAAGCCAAAAGAATCAGATCCAGTTCCTACTACATTTGATGAATGGGCAGATAAACATTTATGGTTGGAAAAAGAAGATCCAGTTCGACATATAGATAGATCAATTACATGGTTCTCAAGATGTATTTCAAAATTAGCACCCCAGAAAAAGCTAAATAATCATGAAATAGAGTATTGAAAACTTTCTCCTAATGCTAATAAACTATATATTACATATAAATATACTAATAAAATTCATAATCTGATGGATGATGATAAGGAATATATTATTAGAATCATTAATAGTTGGAAAATGGGTAGAATGAAAAGACAAATGCAATTTGATAATAATAATATACCTATAGATTTAAAAGAGGAATGGGTTTTAGAAGAAAAACATGAATGGAAAATAGAGTCTCATGAATAGATACCATCATTTAATAAATATTTTAATGGAAAAATCAATATACATAAGCTTTTAATGATGGATCAGAGGGTATGATTATCTTGAAAAGATGAAGATATAGATCTAAATAAAGATGAAGACTATTATTTAGAAGGTTAATCATATGTATTGCATTACCAGTTTATAATACATTCACTTTAGATTTATTTGATCTAGATATTCATAAAGATAAAATAGTTTGGTGACATACTCAATTGCCAGTTCATGTTCATCATAATATAGTATTAGAAATTTGATCATTTTTTTATTATACTATAAAATATACACTCTTTACTAAAATCTAAAAATCAGATAGATCTGTAGATGAAGAGATCGCAGATAAGAGCTGGCATTTTGATAAGAAAAAAAAGGCTGGCAGTCTCACTAGAAAAGAAATCACTCCAGAATAACTTATAAGAATTGATCAATATCTATAGACAAAAACTCATAAATATGTATCATATATTTATTATGAACTTTGGCTAGTTTCAATATTACAAGATTTATTAGATCTATTTTACAATAATAATATAAATTATATTATTATAGAATTATAATAATAAATTAAGCAAGAGAAAACAAAGTGAGCTATAGGGTTAATACTCATTTATAAAAGTATTCTTGTTAAATTTAATGAAAAAATTCTGAATTCAAGTTATACTTTAAATGACTTGCATGATCTTGAAAAGCCAGAGAAATCTGGAGATATAAGAATAAAAATAGTTATTAAGAATTTCTTGAGAAATGAAATATAAGATAGTGATAAATATCTCAAACAGTGCAAACTAACTGTATTTTGTTATAATAATCATGCATAGATAGAAGATATCCTGAAATACTAAAAATATTTTCAGTTTGTGATATGAATTTAGAATGCAAAAAAGTATTTACTTTTGCATTTATAAAAATCAAAGAGAAAAAGATTAATATTGATAATAAAAAAATTATAAAAGTATTTATATCATTTATTACTAGAAAATTTCTGAAAGCTACAAGAGTATGGATTATAAGTAAAGAAATTTTAATATATGAAGACATTCTCTATTATAGCTCTTATGAATAAGAAAAATTAATTAAGGCTTTTAAATATAAAAAATTACAATTCATACCTAAAGAACTTTTAAAATAGAATCTGATAGATATTTGTAAATGAATAGAAGAAGGATATTATTCTACAGTATCAATTTCTTTGCAAGAACTTAAAGCAGAATATAATAAACTTGAAAAATTTCTGAAAGATATATAATCTTATCAATTTCATTATTGGCAAGAAAGAAAAGGTATCAAGTCCATATCTAAAAATGTTATTGAAATTTGATAATAATCTCAAGTGAAATTAATGATATAAAATATTCCAATAGATCCATCCTCTAAACATATTTATATTGATTTTTGTGAAATATATCTTGATTATGAAAATTCAGAATGAAGTATATCAGAAACATTATCTTGAGTAAGATAATATAGATTTCCAGAATGAATATAACAATGTGCTTGTGTTAATAATATTGAAGCTATCTGTTGCTTGACTAATATTATTCAGCTAGTAGCATGAGAATTTGTCAAAAATCTTCATTCATTCACAGCAGGACTTATTGGGTAATATTTCACAAAAAAGAAAGGCTGGATTCCAACATCTCTTATAGATTATCTGTTTAGTACTGGATGGCTTATAAATATAATTCCAAGAGAAATCATATATAGTATAGGCAAAAAATTTTACATTAAATTTCTATCTAATTATAATATAGCAGTTCATTTTGTGAGATTGTGTACTTGTAATACATAAGTTATATCTGTTTTAATTTGAGAAAAAAATAAAACAGATATAATTCATTAATGGTTAGCAAGAAAAAAGTATTAATCAAACCAAATAAGTAATGAGCATGGAATCCTAATAAAGTATGAGAAGAATAAAAAATATGCTTAATAATTATATATTCACTCTTTTATTCTTGCCTATACTTATATTACTATACTTGAATAACTAAAATGCTTCCTAATTGAAAATATATTATGAGTATTATTACAAACTATACTCTGGAAGGTAGGTTTTACCATGAATATAGTTTATAATAAGTTTTGAGGGTGTAAACTGAATTATTTATAAAGATTAAGGGGATAATAATTATTCTAAAGATTTCCTAGTGCCAATACTTACAAGTATTGTATTAATACAAGATAAAAATGAAATAAAATAGAATTATAAAATGAAGTTGTGATCACAAGTACTAAACTAAAACTAGATACCAAAAACTAAATTAACAAATACTATAACTAAAATAAAAGATTTAGTACGCTGACTAAACCCTCTAACAGTATCT